TGGACCACCGCAGCACTAGGACTCTAGGTGTGGACCACCGCAGCACTAGGACTCTGTGTGTGGACCACCGCAGCACTAGGACTCTAGGTGTGGACTACCACACCTGGCTTTTTTGGTCTGGATCAACCTCAGGTCCTCATGTGTGCACAGCAGGTGTTTTACTCACTGAGCATCTCCCCAGCCTGAACTCTCCGAGTTTGTTAGAGGTAATTCTGTCAGGTCAGCTCTTTCATAACCGGGATGTTTGCTCGTTTCATATTTCCTCCCGGCGATATTTTTTACATTTAGAAAGCTAGAGAATAATTTCAGATAAAAGTGTCATTTAGTTATGCTAAAATACAAGTACTTGTTAGTGTACATTACTATTTAAAAAATACAAAACCATCTCTTTTGGCCTCAATTTTCTGCATTTCCCTACTTTCTTCATTCTTCACCCTTGAAATGTTTTAAGCGAACCTAAGTATAAAACAGACATATTTTTAAAACAATAGGCATAAATCATTGGAAAATGTATTTTTAAGAGCATAGACATGTTGAATTTCAGGAGGTTTTATTTTCCATTGAAAAGCAAATATTAAAATGAGAGAATCTAGCTAAGCCTTTCTTCACCTGTGAATGCGTGTGTGGTGTGAGTCCTGATTGCTCTGTTACAGCTCACTCATCCCCACAACACCAGTGCGGCTTTTACAGCAGGGCCAGCTGGGCCAACTCTGCTTTCTATCTCACTTGTTAGCAATGATTCCTGACATCTAACTGTTATATGTTTCAGGGAGCCCAAGGTCATATCAGCAGTGGGTGCATACCGTCAAGGTAAGCATAAGCCTTTGGTTTCGTCTTTTGTGTCCTCTAGAAAGTGTTGAGAAATGTTCGGAGAAAGTACTCTGGCTACACTTGACACTGTTTAATTTGAAATATGTATGTTTTATCATACTTTAAGTATATTTTTTGTTTATAGTTTGTTGATAATTATAAAGGAAATTTTAAAATGAAAATGTTCAATTCACAGGGAAAAGGCTTATATAAACCAACACCTACCCTTCTCTTATCCTTCAGAACACCAGTGTGCTGGCTGGTTTCTAACAACTTGACAGAGTTGGGAGGAGGGAGCCTCAATGGAGGGAATGCCTCTATCATAGTGGCCTGTGGGCATGTGTGTGTGTGGCATTTTCCTGATTGGTGACTGATGTTCTAGTCCACTGTTGCAGTGGCACCCTGGGCAGGTGGTCTTGGCAGGTTTAAGAAAGGCAGTCGCATATGAGCTTGGAGGGGGGCCAGTGAGCAGCACTCCTCCTCAGGTTCCTGCCTGAGCTCCTGCCGCGGCTTCCTTTGATGATGGACTCTAACCTGTGTGATGTAATAAATCCTTCCTCTAGAAGTTGGTATTCGTCCGTGAGCACTAGGCGCGGTGGTAGGAGTGGATGGGGATTTTATTGGATTACAGTTTTGTTGGTAGTTTTCTTTAACATGAAGTCTTTATGGCCCACATCAAACCAGCTGATAAACATTATATCCTTTTTATTGAGAAGCTTTAAATCTGTATTCAGTATTGCCCACATTACTCTTCTATCTAAACTTCAGTGATGAAATGACCCTTAACTGATGCTTTATACAAACTAAAGGAACAGAATAGAGTAGAATATTTAGACCCTGTTCTAAATTAGTATAAAATATAAACTCTTAACAACCCCGGACATAATTGTATAGGTCTTTAACTTACAGTTCTTTCTGTACTACCGACCGTGCTTCATTTCCAGGACTGCTTGCCCACAAGTCTTCAAAAACCTTTTCTCTCTTTCAGAAAGGAAGTGCGTTGTTCAACACAGCGATGACCAAAGCGACCCCTGCCGTGCGGACCGCGTACAAATTTGTGAGTTTCCTCTGAGTTTCCAACTCCTGCTGATAACATTACACTCACGTCTAGACGGTATACTCACGTCTAGACGGTAGACGTGTAAACTCAACGTGTTTTCTATTTGTCCATTTGGGGGAGGATGTGCCCATGAGTGCCAGTGACCAAGGTGCTCCAGCTTGTGTGTGCCCTGTCCATAGACAAGTGTCAGCCTCTATTCTCCGTCATCAGGAGCCATGTGTGTGTGTGTGTGTGTGTGTGTGTGTGTGTGTGTGTGTGTGTGTGTGCGCGCGCGCGCGCGCGCGCGCTTGTGTGCGTTTCTATTTTTTCTTTAATGGAATATATTACTTTCTAGACTTCTTTTTAAGACAATTTCATACATGAATACTGTATTCACATGACTCCCTTCCTCTGTCTCCTCCATCTAGTTCCTCTGCTGTAACTCCCACCCTCAAATTGATGTCCTCCTATTTTTAAGTTATAATTATTACATGTACATGTATGTGTGTAAGTTCATTTAAGTATATATGTATATAAGTTATAAGTACAACTTGCTGAATTCATTTAGTGTTGCTCATGTGTTTAGGGATGACCTCTGTGGTTGGCTAGCCTATGTTTATAGTCCATATTGAGCAAAATAAAGTTTGTTATTAAAACAATGTTATATAGAAAGGTATTTCCTTTATTCAATCTAAAAGTATTTTCTTGTTTTATTTAATTTATCAACAAAATTGTTTAGCAAATTTTGAAGCAGTCCACAGTGAGATCCTAGTTTGAAAATTGGGTTAATTCCTACAATATATTTTAAATGTTTCTTATTTCCTTGAGGAGAAAATAAACCAAATAATGTGTGGTAATATCTGTTCCCTAGAAGATGCTTTAAGTCTCCATGTTTCTTCATAGATTCCTCATGGCTTAGAGGATAACGGTGATAACAAACACCATAAACAAAAGAAGCGCGACCAGATGAAATGCATGTTTGATCTGTCTGAATGTTCTAAGTACCTGTTTTGTTAGATCGTTTTATTAGTTAAGCATACAACTCTGTGTGGCTAAGCTGCAAGGCTGATGGAAACTTTGCTCCATCTTCCAGATAGACTTTAGAATTAATGGTGGACAAATTTGGAAGCTGGAAGAGACCAACGCTAGATTCAACTTTATATACTAAGGACCGTCTGGAAACAGTGTGGTGGATAGGTTAGGAAATAGTGGAGCTAACTAAAGAACAGTGTGAGCAAAGCAACACTGACTCAAATTCTAAGAGATGATAGGAAGAAAAGCAGTTGTCCTTGATAATGACATTCTTTAACCTATCACAACATAGGGATGAATATAGGACGCTTTGGGTTCAGTTGCTTTACAGATAAAGTAATGAATGAAATGTCTTGATTGATTCTAAAAAAATTACAAAACCAAAAAACTCAGAGGATATATTCTAGTGTTAAATGGCTTTTGAAATTATCTTCTATTGTAATGTATTTTAGTTTGTTTTATTTAAATAATACAAAATAATTCTTGCATTCATTTCAGAACATTGCTTGAGTGCTTATCTGTACGTCATTGGTCATCTGGGCTTTACACTTGTTAATGGGGAATGGTCTTTTCCCTCTGTGAACATGAGAGTCTTGATAAGACACCCCTTACAGTCAGCTTAGGAAGCAGCATAGGGTAGTGGAGCAAGGACTTTGAGGTTGAAATCCAGGCTGTGTGTCTGTAGATAAGACTTATGCCACCCTCCTTCTGGTGAGGTTAAAACACTGGTGTATTTTAAAAACACTGTTTTCTCCTTCATCTTTGAAAAGGGGAGGCGTTAGAATTCATAACTAAATATAACCCAAATTGGAATCTACACTAGTCGACTTAGTCTTCCCCGGTCACTGTCCTTTTTTATGAGGTGTCTTGCTAGCAGTGTAACCTTGGAGTTGTGACAACCAACAATGCAGTGTGTCTGAGCAGCCAGCACACAGTCAGCAAACAAAAGCAGATGAGGCTTCCTTTCCTCCCTCTTTATGACGGACACTGTGAGCAGAAATCTCCAGTGCGAAACATCCATCCCTCTGCCAAAGTCCCAGTTGTCAGAACTTGGACCCCACAATTTGCAGCCAGACTGGAGATACTCAACCATGAGGCCCAATCCCAAAGATACATGAGGATAGTGTAAAATTTTCAGTGACTTAATTGTTATTGGAAAATCTGTGTGTGAACTAGCCATACCATTAAGATGCCAGTGCTAGTCAATATCTGTTTGAAAAAGCACTTTAATAATGCCCTCTAAAATTGCTTGAATTCCTTGATGCTTAAACGTTTGCCCATGTAACTTGATACTGAGATTTACCTTGTCTCTGTCTCTCATTGGTGACAATTTCAAATTAATAATGGGTATTAGTTACCCAATTGATTGATTCTAGGCTGAATGTTAATCTTTGTGTGTTTGTATGCAATACAGGTTGACCCATTTTTACCAACAATTTGGGCTTAATAAAATAGTAACTAGATGGCATCCTTGGAAATAGTGTTGGGGTATAATTTGTTCCTTTTCTAAGAAATATGGATAGTTAGCAATGCTTATTAGAGATAGTTTTACACACACACACACACACACACACACACACACACACACACACACACACACACACCGTAAATGATAATAGAAACTTGCAAAGCTAAATAGACTTATTCTCATTTTCTAGGCAAAGAGTCACGCCAGACTGGGACTAAAGGAGGTGAAGAGCAGGCTGAAACACAAGGTACGTCTGCGTCTGTCATCCTGATATTTTTCACCCTGATTTTGTGTGATTTTGCAGCCCCTACTCTACAAACAGTGTGAGGTTTATGTTTTAATGGCTTTTGAAATATGCTTTTCCCTTTGTTCAAGAATATATTGTTTGTAACAAGTCCTCTGGCAACTAACTCTCTGCTATTCTATATGCATCTACTGAATAATCTCTTTATTGTTTGCATATTTTATCACAGAATGTAGAGATTTTCAAAGATATTTTTAACAGGATATATGTTTTCATAAAATCTTGCTTCAAGTTGACCATTTTAAAGAAAGTATCTTTGGGGTGGAATTATCAAGAAATGCCACCCTTTGGTTTTATAGGTTCATTCCAATAGTAGTTATTACATTGAAGAATGTTCCTAATTATAAAATATCACAATGATTGGATTTTGAAACTGTGGTATTGAAGGTATCATGTAAATATTTATATATCTATATTTGTGTGTTTGTTTTGATTACACATTACATCTTTGCAGTTTCATTAACAATTGTGTTTTGAATTTTTACTTTTGAAGAAAAACTACTTAAAATCTTCCATTGTAGTAATAGGGAATGTGTGTCTTTATAAATTTTATTCCAAGTAGTCAAAGTATGGATTATTTTTTAAATTATTAAGTTACACCATAGAAAATCATTATTTCTTCCTCAGAAGAGTCTTTAAATTAGCTAAAGTGTTATTTCTTATTTGCATGTTTAACAGATATTTTATTAAATAACTTTAGTTAAAACGTGGAGTATCGTGAAATAATTCTACTTTTCTTTATGTGTAGGAAAATGAGGAAGATTATGGGACCTGTTCTGGTTTGGTGCAGTATACACCAGTTTATACATTACACAATGAAACGGGAGGAAACAGAGAGAAGCATAAGCTTTCCCAGGTAAGGATGCTTGCCCTTCATGCCTCCAGTCTCAGGTTACGTATTTCAGTGACTTCTTTGGGAGCAACTTGGACCATTATAAGAAAATTAGCATTATTGATCAAGGGAAGAGCAGTGGATTCGGGGCCATCAATGGAGAACCAGGTATCTCTAATGTGAAAGGTCCATCTTGATACAGACATGGAGTGCCCTACATATAATCTCGTATACCAGGTCACATTCAAAGCATAAGATTATTATAATATTATAAGAATATTAGCTAAATTTACCATTGGACTCTGTGTGTCAGCTGTCTAAAGAATTTGGTGTTAAGACAGTTCATATTCACAAGATATCTCAGTGTATATACAGATATTGTAGTACCCAAAAGGTCCAAAATATGAAACACTACTGTTCTCAAGCCTTTTATCATGTCTTCAAAGGGTTCATATTCCAGTGAGTCTGAGAGACAGTTAAGCCTGTGATTATGTGAAGTACGAACAATGTGACATGGAACAACATTAATAGATTCCCTTTACTGAAAACATAAAATGAAGCCCAGATATCCAATCATTAAAACAATGTGTTGAAATCCAAGGGTGAATTACTATACAGATAATCCTCAACTTATGATGGGGTACCTCTTAATGACTCATCAGAAGTTGTTAGTATTGTAACTGAAAATGCACTTAAGGTGATTATCTGATTGAAAGTCATAACTAGTGACACTGTACACTGTAGTTCACCTTTGTGATAGAATGTGTGACAGGAAGCTCTGAGTCCTTGCACTACTTGGGACCAAGGAAGAGTACCGCATCATTTATCACTAGCTAGGAAAAATTCAAAAGTTGAAAGATCATTTTTACTTAAAGTATATTGCTTTTCTCCATAGTAAACTTAAAATGTCATGAAGCCAAACCATTCATAACTTGGGGACTGTATGTCTGGTTTTTTTTCTAGACTTATATATTTTATTTGCTATTATTATTTAAAACTTCTGTTCAAATGCTGATATTCCTAAAAATATTGTCCCTGTGACAAAGTATTTAGAAAAATAGCAGTGTAATGTAGTGTTTTGTATTTAGAATAGGCTTCCGAAGATCTTAACCAATTGAACTTTGTATATTAAATTCCAGTTTGCTAGGCACCTTTAGAATCAGCTTTAGAGTCAAATCCAGAGTGCCTATAAAGCTCCTTTTATGACAGCTGCCAAGGTCCCCAGCCAGGATGGTCATAGCATTTACCTGTGGCTCACAAGAGACTAGCGGCAGCAAAGGACCTGCCCCTCACGGAAGGGAGGGTTTATTGGCACACAGTTTGAGGGTATAGTCCACTGTGGCAGGAAAATCTGGAAGGCAGGTGATTGAGGTCGCATTCCATGCACTGAAGGAAATGAAAATAAAAAGAATACTGTAGTCAGTTTTTTCTTTGGGCCACCAGCTCACAAATAATGACACAGGGACTCATTATTCATTATGAAAGCTCGGCCTTAGCTTAGTCTTGTCCCGCTTGCTCTTATAACTTAAATTAACCTGCTTTTATTAATCTATGTTTTACCATGTGGCCTTTTACCTTTCTTTCATCCTGCACCTCTTGTTTCCTTCCTCTCCACGTCTCCTGGCATCTGCACACATGCCTAGAGTCCTTCTCCTCCTTTCTCTCTGCCTGGAAGTCCTGCCTGTACCTCCTGCGTAGGTATTAGACGTTCAGCTTTTTATTTCATCAATCACAGCAACACACTTTCACACAGTGTACAAATATCCCACAACAGAAAGCTGCTACTCAACTTTGTTTTTCCTTTCTAGTTCATTCTGGGATCACATCCCATTGCATGGTGTTCCCTACCATTCTAGAAAAGTCAACCTCACAGAAATCCTCACAGAAGTTATTTCCATGGATTCTATAAGTACCACCAGTGGGGAAGTCAAGATGAACCATTTCAACTCCAGATTTTGTCATCTTGACACCCAAACATGTCACTTTAAAACCATAACCGTCCACTTTTGTCACCATAGGCTCATGACCATCCCATAATCCACAATGCATTCAGTACAGCTTCAAATGTCCCTAATAGCCTTAGCAGCCCCGTGCTATTTAAAACTCCAAAGTCCAACTCTCATCTGAGGCTCGAGGCAACTCTTAACTAATGTACTTCCACTATACAGTGGCACAGGATACATATCCATTCCATAAAGGAAGAATGATGGAATAGTAACGACCTGGCCTAAGCAAGGCTGAAACCCAGTGAGCAGACACTACATCCTTTCGTTTCATGTCCCGCATCTGGGGCTCATGATAGAATCATCTGGATAAAAGACTTGAGGAGCCCCTTCAGCTTTGCCTCCTGGAGCACACATAGTGTTGGACCAGCCGCAAAGCTGACATTCAAATTTCTTCAGTGAATGTCTCAAGCTCTTGGCATTTTCAAAATCCTGGAGTCTCCGTTGCAATTCATACTTTTTTAGTTGCTTATGTGGCTCCTTAGGATATCTTTACAAGGACTGCAACCCTGCCACACACTGCCTCTCTTCAGCAGCTCTCTAGAACTTCGATGTAGGACTATCTTGACACCCTTAATCCTCTATCTGTTATCCCTGCAAAACCAGTACTGAGTGAACAAAGCTGCCAAGTTCATGTGGCAGCTGTGTGTGGAGCCTGGCTCCCTTGGACCACAGTGGTATCGGCATCTGTGTGCTGAGCCTGGGAAAACACACCCATGGAACCAACCCCTTGAGTGAAGTTCTCAGTTTAGTCTCTCTTCTTTCAGATAAGTTTTCTCAAGGAGTCTGCGATAGGTTAGGTTTTGCCCTCAAAACACTTTTGTCCCCATGTAGAGCCCAAGTTTTTCTTCATGTCATCGATCTCTGTGGCAATTTCAGCTGTTTTGAACCTGCCTCCTGCTTCCTTTTTATTGATTTTGGGATCCCAGACCATGGAATGGTTCTGCCCCCATGTAGGGTGGATCTTCCCATTCCATTTAACCCACACAATCTAGAAAATGCCTCACTGACATGCAATGATGATTCAGAACCCCATCAAATAAACAGCTAGGATTAATAATGACAGTACTTGGCCGGGCGGTGGTGGCGCACACCTTTAATCCCAGCACTCGGGAGGCAGAGGCAGGAGGATCTTTGTGAGTTTGAGGCCAGCCTGGTGTGTACCAAGTGTGTTCCAGGAAAGGCGCAAAGCTACACAGAGAAACCCTGTCTCGAAAAACCAAAAAAAAAAAAAAAAAGTAATCACAGTACTGTGAAATGTTCATAGTGATAAAGTGTTGGGGAATGTTATCTTGAGGTATATTACTTTTGTTGATGTTGCATTTGTTTAACTCTGTGCCTGTGTAAAACACCTGATGATCTAATAAAGAACTGAACAGCCAATAGCAAGGCAGGAGAAAGGATAGGTAGGGCTGGCAGACAGAGAGAATAAATAGAAGGAAAAATCTGGGAAGAGAAGAAAGATCAAGGAATGAGAGAGGGAGGAGGAGGACTTCAGGGGCCAGTCACACAGCCAGCAGCCACACAGCCATTCACGGGATAAGAGTAAAAGTAAGATAAACAGAAGTTAGAAAAGGAAGAAGCCCAGAGGCAAAAGGTGGAAGGGAGAATTTAGGTTAAGAAAAGCTGGCAAGAAACAAGCTAAGATAAGGCCAGGCATTTATGATTAAGAATAAGCCTCCGTGTGTGATTTATTTGGGAGCTGGGTAGCGGGTCCCCCAAAAGAGCAAAAACCTCCAATAACAGTAAAGTATTTTTGTGTATCTGTAATTTAGCCAGTGTAGTACTACTATAACAGAATACTTGAGCTTGAGTAATGTGTAGAGAACAGAAAGGTATTTCTTCAATGTCTGGAGGCTAGAGAGCCAAGGTAAAGGCACTCACGCTTCATAAAGACCTTCATATTACTTCATCCCATGGCAGAAGGACAAGACAGAGCAAGACATGGGGATGGGAACTTTGGCTTTAACATGAGTTTGCGTAGGAACACTGAGCCTTAGCAGTCTTTAGGAATGAGAAAGGCTGGTAAGGCAGCTGAAGCAGAAGGCCCTTATGAAGAAGACCTGCTCATCTGATAATTCATCACCACTGCGTCAAGGATCTTTCCTAGGTACCAGCCATATACAGAAGGAAAAAATGACAATATTCTGAACTCATGGTGCTATTTTTGTGGCAAACTGAATAAATTTTTTTACTTTTCCTTTTATTAAACTTATTTTTCATAAACCATTCTTGATTTCTGCATGTGATTACCAAATCCTGATTGTTCCCCAAACACGTCTTTGAATGAAGTCATTCTGTGTACTGAGAGCTGCTAGTGCTGTACTAAGGAGGTCACTTACCGACGTGTAAACAAGTCGGAGTTTTCCTGTTTGCTTTTCTGACATCACTAGTATGCTCTCAAGCTTTAGCATTTTAAATCCCTTTTGTAAAAGGTTTTGCTTGCTCTGTAATAGAGTATTTAAGTGATATTTACCATGGAAAACAGATTTTGTTTTTATGGGAAAAAAACCTTATGATTTCAGTATGATGCCTTAAGATAGAAACATTTTAATCACAGGAATGCTTTTCTCAATATGAGAACTCCTCATATCTTAATACTAAATTTTCCTTTTATAGCAGGATATAACATTTCTATTATAACTTACCAATTTCTGGTTTTTCATGTTTCACGTTAATTTCTAGAAATAGAGTTTTAAATTGTATATATCTAAGATATACAACATGTTTTTATATAGACCTACACTTAGCAATTTTCCAACATACAATACATATCTGTTAATAGTGATCCTTCCCCAGTGCATATGATAAAAAAAAATCAGTACAGAGTTAGACTGAACTTGATCTGAAAAAGGAACTTGCTTTTGACATTTAGTAAAATAGCATATCCCTTTGTCTTGCTTCCTGCATTTTTAAATAATAATAATATTACACATCATTTTCTTTGGATGCTATAGGAATTATAGATAATGTGAATAAAATATCTTCATTAATAAATAAAGTATAATAGGTACTCTATGA